TTCCTGCAAGGTGTCTTCATCCCATTTGACTAATCGGGTTTAAAGGCTCAATAGTCCTTAAGCTTTGCTGACAGTTCACTTCCTGTCATGACTGCTCACGGGCCTGGAGGCATAGTGCCTGAGAAGGATTTGGCAGTTTAATATTTGGAGTGCTTGGACCCAGCTTTGTTCATGAGGAAGCTGGATACAGGCATGCCATCAGTGTGTGCAAAGCAGGTTAAAACAAGCCAGGTTCAGTAGGGGTAAGAGATAAGAAAGCCTGGAGAGAATTGTATTGCAGAGGCTAAAATGGAGGTGAGTTTGCCTGTCTATTAGGACCTTGCAGTGAGAGATAGCAGGTGGATTGACAGCCTCTTGAAGTTGATGGAGAGGCATGGCCAGGCATTGCTCTTTCTAGAAGTGTCACTCTCTTTCCTATGAAACAGTGAGCTCCCTGTGAGAGACGGGGGCAGGCTCTGTTAGTTCCCCAGAACGCTGTGTTAGTCCAGCTGTAAATGAATTGCTTTGTGTTTAATCACTCCCGCTACAACACAGCAGTCTGTCTCTGTAGCTGAGCGGGGCTAGAGAGAGACTGGCAACCTCTCCTAACAGGCACAATAATTAATAATCTTTCCTTCTGTAAAGCACCTTCATCTTGAGCATGATAGCGAGTGACTGCCTCATGTTTCCATGTTTTGTGGGGCACCCCATGATGGGAGCATAGCTTCGAATCTTACATCTGCAAGGCGTTAGCTGCCTGCTGCCAAGCTTTAAACTCTACTGGCTCTGTGCGGTGAATTACTGGAAGAGACAGCCTTTGCGGCAAGCAGCTCAACCTTGGCACTGAGAGAGCAGAGGAGCTGACCTGCGTGGGCCTGGGAGTGCTGCTCAGGAGGTGTTCACTGAGATGCAGGGATGGAGAGCTGTCTGTCTGGGTAATAGCAGCAAGCACAGCTAGCAGAGAGTTGCTTGTTAGTAAGCTCCCTTCCTCTCAGCCTTCTTTTTATTGATTGCTGCAGCAGAAAGAACAGGGAAGTATTGAAAAGGTCTCTCTACATCTGGTCTCCTGGATCTTCTCTCATTCTTCCACCTTAGGCAATGGGGTGATGCCAGCTTTTGGCTTTTTCACCAAGTAGCTTCTTGTAGGCCTCCCTGAGGCCAGGGTTCCTGGTGCGTTTCTGGAAGGCAGCAGAGCCAATACTCTGAGCTGTTCATCTTTTTTCTCCTGCAGTCCACCTTGAGCCTCATGCTATGGCTCCCTTTAGGTACCATAAAGGATGCTGCTCTATTCCACTGAACCAGTGGCACATAGGAGACCACTGGTTACAGGAGTGGAATACTCTCTGTCCTCCCAGCTCAGAGTCTGGGCTTGGCCCTGCAATCCCTGGGGAGCCTTGGCCAATTTCCCTGGATCAGCCTTGGCTTGGCCTTGAACCCTTCTGCACTGCAAGCCCCTGTCTGCTGACTGCGTGCTTCCCCCCCCCCCCCCTCCATTTTTGGATTCAGTCCTTGCTCTGCTGCTGCTCTCTGCAGGAGCTGGACACGGAGCTGCCTGGGACATGGTCGTGCCAGCATAACTTGGCAAAAGCTGAGCTCAGCTCTGCCTGGAGGTGAGTGTGGGCAGTGAGTGCTTCCCCTCGGTACTTGTCTCCTCTTCTCCAGGCACTGCTGGGGAGAGCAAAGCTACCAGGAGGCCTCGTGCTGCACCTGGCCCAGCTGTGCTCCCGTGCCAGGGCTTGCAGGGACAGAGGCTGAGCTCTGCAGCTTGCGTTGCAGACTGAGCTTTGTTTGCCCCTTCATTCTGAGAAACAAATCCCTTTGTTTTGTTCATTCCCTATTGTTCAGATCATGTCAGGATCCTCACGGTCCCAGACACAGGGCACTCTCCCTCTTGGCCTTGGCTAGTCTCTGGCCAGCTTGCGCTTTCTGAGCATGGGCTTATCAGAGTCAGTGCTTTGCTCTCCTGGGACAAAGGCAGCGTGGTACTGCCGTGGCCTCTGTTTTCACCAGCCTCTTCCCTCGTGGGGCTGGCACAGAGCATTGCTGGGGCAGGCTTGGCAGAGAAATGAGACTGTCCAGGCTCTGCAGAAAGTCTCAGGAGTGCAAAACTTTCCCCTGTCTGCTCTGGTGGCTGCAGCAGGGCAGCCTGAGCACCGAGAGCACTAGTCTGGCTCGCCTGCCCAGCTGTGCCGAACAACTACCACACTTGCACCAGCCTGGGCTCGCCGTGCCTCCTACTGCCCCTGAGCTGACTGCTGTGGGGAGATGTTAGCTTGGCTGTCAGCCAAACAGGGTTTGTACAAGTCCCCTACTTTGCTTTGCCCCGGTGGGAAGGAAGGCTATGCAGCCTCTTCCCAAGTTTCTTTCTAGCCTTGCATGCTGCTACTTTGTATCTGTGCCTGGTGGGATGAGATAACCTCTTTGTTTTTCCTTTTTCTCTTTGTCTGGTTCTTCCGTAGGCATGGGGAACATGCACAGATGTGAGGAGTGAGCTCTCCTCTCACTAGTGCTTCACGATGTGGTTCTTGTGCTCTCTCTGCAGGAAAGCAGCCTGGAATGGTTTCTCGGACTGTGGGCTTCTAATTAGTGCCGCATTAAGGCACCTTAAAAGTTCCTTTCACAATTAAGATGCAAAACTCTCCTATTAGTTAAAGGATTAAAATCTTGTTGCCAGCGACTACAGCTAGGTTATGTTAATCCCAACCTAATTGCCATGTACCAGGAATATTAAGGTCAGGCTTCGTATGGAGCTCAAATTCCTGTGATGAATGTGCTGAATGCTACTCTCCAGTCAACTTTTTGTTAGTCTTCCCCCACTCCTTCCTCCTCCCCACTAAACTGACCGGAAAAATTTACCCTAGAGATGGGTGCATTTTGATGCTAGTTGAAGTAGCTTGGCAATTCTCTTAAATGTGTGTGCAGTAAGGAGCACAGATGGACTGATTTATTGCTGTTTGATTTCCCTTTTTGCAGAGATCAGAACCGGAGAGGCAGAAATTGCTACTCTGTTGTTTAGCAGATGGGTTTGAAGACGGGGATGGGTGAGGTAGAAGTTTATGTTATGAGTTTGGTGCTGTCAGTCAGTGACTCTATCGTGGAACTACTGCCTGGTTTTCTTGAGCTTCTCCTTTATGATTTCCTGGTGGCAAATGTGATCCTCTTCATCTTCATCAGCTTCTAATACTATAAGATTGGCTATAAGCTTATACACTCTGCCTGTCTGTTCTCTCCAACTTTCCAAAAAGACCTAGAAGTGGCTAGAGAAGAGCAGAACCCTTATGCTCCATGATAACCAGCAACTTGCAGTGATCCAGATGGGGTTTTGGGGGGTTGTGTGCCAAGAAATTAAAGTAACTTTCCATCTGTTCTGGTTAGTCCGATTAGCATCTCCTGCAGTTTTAGTGATGCCAGATGACCTGTGTACCATGGCTGCTTCCTGCTACTCAGTAGGTCTCTACGTGGCATTAGCTTTGTTTACTCAACTTTTGTTTGAAACGTTAGTTCTTGTTGCCAGCTCCCTCTGCCCATGTGATGTCACTCTGGCCTTGCTCTGTACCGGAGCTGAGGGCACGCAGATAGCTGACCTGAGACACTCTGCCTCCCCTGTTTCCCTCCTGGCTGACCCGGGGGACAGCATGACGCAACTGGGCCTTAGCCAGGTTTGGCCTGATCACCAGTAAAGTGAATTCAATTAGTAAATAAGCAGCAGTGCATGACGCTGCATGAGTACAAAGAATATCTTCTTGCTATTGCAAGATTTTGGCTGCTTCCCATTCAGCTGGAGGGGAGGGATCCTGTCTGGCTGATCTGCTGTCCTGCCATATGCATCCCGGGTATGTTGCCCAAATGACATTCACAGAACCGCATGTCACAGATTGTGAAGTGATTGCAGAGCTATGCCCCGAGTATACTTGCACCCTTCTGCCGAAACCGTCTTCCATAAGTGCTGAGGATTTTAGGGTATTGTTCTCTCCTGCCCCCAGCCCAGACTTGCATTGGTGGAAGGCAGGAATTTGACGGTTAATACGTACGAAATGACACCGGTCTTTTAAGTATATAATAATATTGTGATATCCTCTTGCAGGCTAATATTGGCCAAATGGACACACCCAAAGAGCTCTGGAGGATGATAACAGGGAACATGGCTCTGATACAGGTAAGAAAATGAGAAAGGAGAAGAAAGTGGGAATGATGGGTTGTGTGAGTCCCATCGTGAGGAGTGTCAGAAGGCTTAAATACCTGTTCTTTGGTACTGCATGACCAGTGGGGAGGAAATGGAAAATGTCTCACAATCGTCTTTCCGTAAAAGTTTGCCCCGTAGGTGAGATTTGGTGTCCTCCTGCCAGATGCTAATCCACCTGGGATCATACCCTGAGTGGTGTTCCCTTCTTTGCCCACCCTGGGACCATTTTGCTCTTGTCCCTCTTGGCAACGGTCTAGTTCTTCTGTTTTCAGGTTCAGGCTACTGTGGTTGGCTTCCTGGCCTCAATCGCAGCAGTAATATTCGGATGGATCCCGGATGGCCACTTCAGCATTGACCATGCTGTCTTGCTTTGTGCCAGCAGTGTGGCTACTGCTTTCATTGCTTCCCTTGTTCTGGGTAAGAGATAAGCCCCGCACACCCTCTGCGCACCTCTTTCTAAACTGCTCAGCTCTCCTTGGCCTCATTGTGTTTTCTTCCTCTTTTTGGCTCATAGGCATGATCATGATTGGGGTCATCATTGGATCCAGGAAGATGGGGATCAATCCTGATAATGTAGCCACACCGATTGCTGCCAGCCTGGGGGACCTCATCACCCTGGCTCTGCTTTCAGGAATCAGCTGGGCCTTATACAAAGAGCTGGGTGAGGAGCAGCGTCTCCCTGGTTTCTCTCTCCCTGGTTGTTCCATGTGCTGCAGCATCTCCCTTGCACCTCACCCTGTTTCTTTATCCTTACTGTTCTCGGGGTATATAGGATGCCTGGCCTGGAAGCTACCTCAGTTAGCGAGACCTAATCAGAACTGGTGAGGGGAGGAAATGGACCTTCTTACTGCCTTGTAGCTGCAGACAGTCTTGGCAGTGATTTGCATACGTCCTTCTTACCAAGTAAAGTGGTAAGGGAGAGGTTGCCTCCTTCCAAGTGCTAGAGGTTTGATCTTGTGGCTAAAGCAGCAGGGGAAGGTAGCTCTGGTTTTAGTCCTTTTTACTGTAATCCTCAGCTGGGGAGTCCTCAGTGCAGAGCTGCAGCTGTAGACTCTACGCTTTCCTCCTCCCTCCCTCCCACCTTCCTTCCCCAGTGGTAAGGATGCAGAAGACATGACTTAGCCAAGTTCAGCCTACAGCGAAGCTGTACTGGGAGATCTTGCCCAGGACCTGAAAGTGGGAATGAGCAATTAGTAACTGAAGAGGACACTTCACTCAGAGCTGTTGATAAAGCTGCTGAGAGTGGATCAGGAAAAGGAAATGTCACACCTCCCAGGGTTGAGGATGGCCTGGTCTAGTTTGCCTGTCCCTGCTAGAGTTTCCCTTCCCTCTAGGGATGAAGGCAGTCTGAAGCCAGGCCTGTTGAGCTCAGCTGGAGTAGCGCCTTGCCCCCCTGCTGCAGGGGGGCATCTCCTTGATGTGTTGCCTCTCCTTGTTTCCCCCTCAGAGAGCAAAGCATATGTGAATCCTTTAGTGTGCGCCTTCTTCATAGCTCTGCTGCCCATCTGGATCATCATTGCCAAGAAGAATGCAGCGACTCGGGAGGTGCTGTACTCTGGCTGGGAGCCGGTCATTATTGCAATGGCTATCAGCAGGTAGGAAGGCGTGGAAGAGTAGTTCTTCCCAGACACAGACAGAAAGAGTACCCTTCCTGCCAACCCCTTCAAGCTCTTAGCCCTTGATAGACTCCAGACTAGAGAGAACCAAACATCTTCCTCTTCCACAGGTCACTCTGCCAGGAGACAGGGGGTCATTTTGTCTTTTCTAGACAAAGACACCGGGATCTAGGCCCACAGAAATGATTAAGCAGCTGACTGCTGGAATCCAAGGCTTTAGCGATGTACCCATTGCTGCTCAGGGAGACCTTAACTTGGCCAGGGAGTAAATGCAGATCGTGTTTAGTTCTCCTCACAAGAGACCTGTCCTTTGAAGGGCAGGATTGCTTCTGATGATTGTGTTGCAGTAAAGTACATGTTTGAGGGATTTAGTAGTCTTTGGACTTTTTGGCAGCAATGGGAATAGCGCCTGCTGAAACTGTGTCCTGTTATTACATAGTAGGAGCTCCAGGATTATGCCCCAGCTGTGAGACCTAAAATCACGTGCGACAGCCACAAGTGTAGGTGCATGTTAATAGGGTAGGAATCACCCTTGGGTGCGCACACAGCAGCAGTGAGCACCTTCTTGGGTAGAGTGCCTTGCGTGAACAATTAGTTACTTCACTGACCTCTTCAATCTTCCCCCTGCAGTGTTGGTGGGTTAATTTTGGACAGAACGGTTTCAGATCCAAACTTTGCTGGGATAGCTGTTTTCACGCCAGTTATTAATGGTGAGTTCCTTTCCACTCTGCTATTCCAGCTTTTGGAGGTTCTTGGCAGACAGTGAAATTGTCCAATGGGCCTCATTTCAGATGGGATTAGGAGCCCAGTTCTCTTTGGTCATTAGTGTGACATGGTTCTTAGACCAGAGCTTTACAGCAGCATGGCTCCCCCTGGTGCCAGCCTTTCACCAGAGGGGTTAATTAGCCTGAGAGATTATTGCCAAGAAGATGCACTTTCCAAATCCGAGGGCCCTGATGTACTTCGGAATATTTTCCTTAATTTGTTGTGCTGGTGAATGTACCCTTCAGGCTATCTGGGGCTGATCTATGACTTGGGAACTGCATCCTGAAGCAGATAACGCAGCCCAGGATAGGAGTTGCTATTGATGAAGCCAGCCAGGGACCATGCTAGCATAACAGCTACTGCGTAATTCAAATCGTGCTGTGGGGGAAGACAAGCCAGCCTGGCTACTGGGCCAGGATCACGCAGACACTGTGGGACCCACCCATAGGCATGCTCTGTCTAACCTTGCCAGGGTGGTGGAGCCTGATGAGAATAGTCTTCATCTCCTGATTCCCTCTGACAAGAGAAAGACCGCCATCTTCTGAGAGCTGTGCCTTGTGGCACCTGGCGACATATAGATTTTGATTTGCAACTTAGAGTCAGGAAATCTAGTTGCTTCTGGTGTAAAGCTTTGAACTCCCTTTCTGCCTGACGAACCAAAGAAACTCCTCTCTGCATTAGCAGCCTTTCAATAAACAGAGTTAATTAACAGAGCACAAGAGCCAGTGCATCTTGTGCTAGTGAGTTCCACGGTTTCATTATGCATCAAACAAAAAAAGTAGCTTCAAACTTCTTGTGTCTGTTTTCGTGGCCGACTCAGGTGTTTTGTTTTTTCCATATATTTCTTCCAATCAAAACTGCAGAAAAAAAAAAAATTCCATCGTTTTTATTAAGAGGCCTAAGGGGACACTGCAGTGCTTTGTCTTCATCATTTACATCCTGCAAAAGTGGAATTTGGGTCAAAAATACTGTCGTACATTATTCCGGCATCTGGCGATTCCAGGTCTGCTGGCCTTTGAAAATGGCTTTTTCCCTTCTGAGCTTGTTAGAGACGTTTCTCTTGCTGCTTTCCCCATATCTGCAGGTGTGGGTGGCAACCTGGTAGCAGTGCAGGCTAGTCGCATCTCCACTTACCTGCACATGAATGGGATGCCCGGAGAGAGCTCTGAAACGGCCCCTCGCAAGTGCCCCAGCCCTTGCAGCACTTTCTTCAGCTCAGGTATTCAAGTGGGGGGTTGAGATATATTTTCTTCTGCCAGCACCAATTGCTGCAAATGGTTGGCTAAGCTTGTGTCTGTGACAGTCACTGGAGCGCTGTCAAAGGAAATGGTGGCTGAAGTCTGTTCGGAAGCAGCTGTCACATCATGGATACAGCTGGTCTTCTGGCCTGCCCTGCCCTCTACAGACGGTTGGACCTTTAGCAAAGCTGCTATATGAGAGGACATAACCTGTTGGATTAGGAAAACATGGAGCAGAAGTGCCATGCGCTATCTAATATTGTAAATTCTACACCCTCTAAATCTTGTCCAGATGTGTCTGGGATGCTAAAACCTGCCTTGAGGCTGCTTGAATGTTGCATTTCAGCTGGACCTGTAGAGCTGCAGAAAAGTTTTCACTAATGAAGGCTTCTTAACAGCTCTATTATTTAGCAGTTGTGTGGCAGAGAACAGCCCAAACTTGTGTTCCAGCATAGAGCATGGGCAAAGATTACTTTCTCTCTGTTCACATGTATCAGCCATTAGGTATTGGCATTTGGGGAGCAGGAGAGATGTGATCGGCGAGCTGTCAGTAAACTGGTCACCAGACAAGGTGCAGACAGAGCTCCCTGCTTTATTTGCTCTGAGAAAATTCAACCTTTCCCAGAAAGTTCTTGAAAGCTGTACTGAGCGCTTGTCAGTGCAATGCGTCCTTGGGTGTTTCTGACAGCTGGGCCATCTTTCAGGGCACCACCTTGCAGCCCAGCTCTGGGGGAGTGCAGGGGTGAGAGTCCAGTGTGCTAGTGCCTGATTTTGATTTGACCACCGTGTGCTGCCTTGTCACCTGGCACCCAGGTAGCAGTCTGCGGAGTTGCTGTGTGTTTGGGCCCCTTTAAACCTTTAACTCCACCTTTTTTCCTAACAGATGTGAATTCCCGCTCTGCCCGTGTGCTCTTTCTTCTGGTGGTACCTGGACACTTGGTTTTTCTTTACACCATAAGCTCCATGCGAGGTGGACACACTACACTCACCCTGATTTTCATACTCTTCTACATGACAGCTGCCCTTCTCCAGGTAAGCACCAGACTTTGCTGGAGTCCTTCTGGGGCTGTAACCCCTTCCCCCCCCCCACCTCAGGCTGGGGGAATAAGGGGACACGAACACATCACCTTCAGTCAGGAGCTGTTCCCCCAGTTAAATTGTAGGCAGATTACTGAGGGCACAGTAATTTGCCCTATCTAGAAGGTTTATGTGCTGGGGAGGGGTATGCCAAATAGATTGCATTTGTCAAAGGAGCAGGTATCAAACTAGATAAACCTTTCTTTATGGACGCCTGTACATACAGCTTAACTTGTCCTTCCTCATGTTCTTGACAAGTTCCGAATCTGTCTTTGGTCTTTCTAAAGTCCTCTGAGAGCAGAAGTCTTTCCCTCTCATGTGTTAATCTGTCCTGTTAGGTGCTTTAGCCATTTTAAAACTGCTAGTGAAGAAAGCAAGACGTGGAGTTTGCAGGGACCCAGTGCCTCGTATGGCTCTTCCTGCCTGTTCCCTGCCTCTCCCTGGTGGGTAGAGACCTGGCAGCTCTGCTGACACAGGGCTCCCAGTCTCCTCGCAGAGGCTGCGTGAACCCGTAGTACTGACTGTTCTGAGGGACTTGCATGGAGCAGGGCATGCACCCTGCAGAAGTCCAGCAGCCACTTGTGGCTGCCTGTGCCAGAGGGAAGGGAGAAACACTCTGGTTAGGGAGTTTCCTACTAAGCCCAGCTATGCTTCCCCCCACCCCCATCCCCTCAGCTTGTGGAAGCTGTGGCTGGTTTCAGCATCCCCTAAAATCAACAACTGAAGCGAGCTTGAGGAAATGAGTCAGAGCATCCATCAGAGGCAAAAGCAGAGTGCTGTCATCTAGGAGGCTAAATTTAGGTTGTGAACTCCTGCCTGCTGCTTGGGCACTTAGAGGAGGCTTCCGCTCACAGCCATTCTGCAAAGCCACTGCCCTGAGCAGCCTGCAGTCTTGGAGCGCCAGCGGGGGAGCTGGCTGCAGAGGGACTGCAGCGTGCTGGCTGCTGCAGTCCCAAGCGAGGCCTTCCCAGCCCTGGAACCAACAGAGGCATTAGCAGCAAAAAGCCTGCTGGCCACTTCAAATGCTTGTCTTGGACCAAAGGCTCGAGGGGATCAATGTGGGTTTCTTCTGTCTTTGATTAGACATTATATGAACCTCCGTATTGCATTGAAGCAGGTGGGGGTGAACATCACATTCTGGTGTTTCAGCTGCTGGGAAATTGTCCTTTTATTCCTGGAAGCCAGACGTTGCTGCCCCTTTCCCAAGCTTCCTGCATGCTTCCGAGTCCCCTCTTTGGCCCCATATCTGTAAGCGTGATGGGGTTAGATTTGAAAACAAAGATGCAAAATTTAGACTTTGGGAGATGTGGGAGGGGTTTGGATGCCAGCATACTGAGTTCCCCCTTCTAAGCCTAAGTTTAACAGTGACGTGTGAAGCTAAGGGAGGGTAGGTAAGTGTCTCTTAAAGATACAGAGGGGTTTCCGTGCCTTGCATGGAAATTTGCAAGTTCATCGTCGTGCTATGCTTTTGTTGCTTTTAGGATGCAGCCTGCATTAAATGCCCGGATTGTAGTGTTCAGCAAGGTTCCTCTGACCAGCCAGCAGCTCCATTGCTAGGATTGAGGTTCTGCATCTCTGAAAACTGGCCTGCTCAGCTGGAATTGCACCACTGTGATGCACCTTGAGGACTGGGCCTGGGGAGGTGTAAATTCGTGGCTGATATGACTCTTTCCTTTCTGCCTCTCAGGTTCTCATCCTTCTGTACATTGCTGACTGGATGGTGCACTGGATGTGGGGCAGGGACCTCGATCCTGACAACTTCTCCATCCCATACTTGACAGCACTGGGGGACCTGATTGGAACAGGTCTCCTTGCTCTCAGCTTCCACATCCTCTGGCTCATTGGTGATCGGGACTCTGATGTGGGAGACTAGCTCTCCTCACTGCCCTTCTTCTGACAGCTCTCCTTCCTCAATGTGTTGTGGTTTTTTTTTTTTTGGTTTATTTCTTTTCCTCCACTCTTGCTCTCCTTTGCTTCTTCTCCCTGTCTCTCTTGAGACTTCACCTTTGATACTGGATTCTCATTATTTTCAATGGGAATTTTATGTGGTTTATATTTCAAGCCAAGTTTGTACAGAATATAAATCTAGTTTTAGGAAGGACAAAAAAAGTGTAAAGAGACAATCACCAAGTGCAATTTCATAGCAGTTGTATCTGAACCAAGGCTACAGTGAGGATACTGATCAGTCAGATCATACAGGGAGCCCACCCTGTCCCAGTCACTAGAGGTGAAGGGCTGCTCTTTTCGCTTCATAAGCGTTTTAAATATTGGAGGTAAGGTTCAGATTTATTTTACTGAACAGGCACCTTCTAGCAAAGTACAACCTCGTGGATGAGGGCATGGGATATCTCCTGTCTTCTCTACCCTGTCACCCTCCTCCCTTGTGTTCACTCTGAATCCCCTTCCTGCGCGTAGCATCCAAAGCACATGACCCTCCAATAGAAGGACTAGCGAAGATACGTGAAGGGTGGTGAAACACCCATTTCCTATGTGCCCACAAGAAAGCCAAGTGATATCTCGGGCTTGCGGAGTGCAGAGCCCTGAAATCTGGCTATGAGTGGGCTGGTCTTTGCTGACAGATTTAGGCTGGAGAACAGAAGCTCTCTCAAATATAGCTCCATTTTGCCAACCATCCTGCAGCATCTGCATCTCAGAAATTACAAACGCCTTGTTCTGCCTCTCCCCATCTTTCATCTGCAGATGGAGAGTGGTGATCATGGACTGAGTTCAGCTACCGCTGTGTGCAAAAGGATATGCTCTGCGCTTTGTCCAAAGAGGCTGCGAGCTAGCCCTATCCATCACTCTCCCCCTGCTGCCTGCCAGTGCTCAGCTGAAGGAAGCAGAGATCTGCTGGAGCTGTGATGGGTTTTGTATGCAGGGCTGGTACGCGCACATGTCTGCTTTGTGCTGGTATAGGCACGGCACTGTTTTCACGGCAGCCTGTTCAGGATGGGTGGAAAAATAGATCCTATTTTTTGTGTTACGACTTACTTTCACAGTTGGTGAGTGCTGCTGAAGGGCCCATTGCAGCTGGGAAGAGGCCATTCAGTATCTCTCACAGCTGAGCCTGAGGCACTTCAAAGCTGGGAATGTTATGCTGTTGGTGCCCCTTAGAAAAGGACGCCCATGTTCAGCCATTGGCTTTCTCCGGTGTGTGTAAGTGCTAGCTGGGAAACAGGTTAGCAGCTGCAGCCTGATTTCTGAAGTCCGAGTCCTGAAGTTCAGTGCAGCTCTTTGTACTGGACTGCAGCAAAGGAAGGAGCTTGCCCTTGAGAAGGTTTGTGAAATCTGGGGTCAGGGTTACAGCCTGGCTTGCAAGCAGTGGCTGAGTACTGTGCAAGTGCAGGGCTCTCTGCTCTGTTACTCTCCCCTCTGCTTTTTGTGCTCTTCATCTAAGTAATGCTGAGATGCATTCTCTTATCCTGCTAGTACGTATTGGAAGTCTGCAGCGGCATAATGAGAGAAAACCTGTTCTGGCTGTGCGACTAAGGCATTTGTAAATGGTCTTGCTGAATGTTGTTGGCACTTAACACTCTTTAGTTTTTCCATTTGGATCTAAATTGATTCAGTAAACTGGATGCAGTTTGGTGTAAGCAGGTCTGATTGACTTGGAAACTTCACCCTATTACACCATGTTCAAATGATATGCTCAGGCAGCCAGCCTCATTCAACGGGCTTTAATGTATGAATATAAATTGAATGCATGATTTGAAGTGTGTGGGGGGAAGCTCTTAACATCTGTGAAAGATGGAAAAACACAGTATATTGCGTGGAGCCTGATTTCAGTGCTCCAGTACACAAAGCTCGGGGAGCTGCTGGTATCCTCCAGAACTCTGGGGATGCCTGCAGTATTCAGCACGGTAGCCCCTTACATCCTGACCCTGAAATAACAGCCAAGCTCTCGTCGTACTTAGCTGCGCAGGCTCGGAGTGCTTCAGTTCTGGTCCTGTTCTGGACACACTGCCTGTCCTGTTTATTTGCAGCTCCACAGTATAACCCTAAAGCTGCTGAATTTGTGGTTGCCTGTAGGCTGCTGCTTTTCCTCTCTGTTTTTTTTTTTTCTTTGTCTAAGTGTGTTCCTCATAGCAGAACATGACCATTCTTGATTGGCTTAATTTCCTCATTTGGGTTAACTTCTGTATTTCTCACACAGGCCTTATTGAAACCAATGCTCGTTGTCTTTTTGCTTTCTATCCCAGCAACACTGGGCTTCTGTGCTCAAATGGAAAAAAGTGCAATGTGCTGTTGGGGCTGCTGATCATCTGAAATAAGGCCTGGTTGGAAGATATGTGTGTTGCTCTGGCAATGCAAGAACTAGCCGAGTTCTACAAAGCCCTGTGTAAGTGTAGCCATTTTTACTTTTTAGGTAAGAGGATTTTGTTAGAAACTGTTTTCACCCCCACCCCATCCCCCGAAAAACCGGAAGAGCTGAGGTGAACACACCCTTCTACGATCCAAATCGAGAACAAATTTAGACTGAAATCAGGTGTTGTCCACACCCAGAGATCTGGCTCCAGAGTTGATCCCTACTCTGGAGACAAGCCTGTTAGAAAGGAAGCTCAGGATTAATGGAAACCAGTTCTGAAAAACCACAGAAACAGATGCATCTGAACCAACCTGCAGTTAGTCTTTTGCCTGCTCAAGAGCAGATTGCTGAGGGACCACTGTTTAGCAAGTTGTGAAACATGAAAGGATTCTTTTAGTATGTATATATAAAGTATTCCTATTTTTAATACCTTCCCTGTTTGTAGAATTTGGGAAGCAGAGATCTGATTCTTACCCTGTCAGAATACTGACTCTTGGACCTTAAGAAGAGCAGGTGATGCATTTTCAGATGGGTTTCCCCCTTCTACCTTACTAATGTAGCCTAAGGCTTTCTTTCCCTTTTTCTACCTTTGCAATGTGTGCTTTCGTGACATTAGTTCTGAACTTTATACTCTTCACCCTCCTGACTTGACTTCTCACAAATCTAATTTGGCCAAGGTATTGTCCAAAAAAACCTCAAACAAACCAGCACCACCCCCATCCCCCCCCCCCAAACCCTCCTGTACTGAAGTCTTAGCCTAGGGACTTCTGAAGTATTTGCTCCTGCTCACCTGATTTCTCTGCTTGATGTTGAGGAATAGATTTGATATTTCCTTCCATTAACACTTAAGCTTATATGTGAGAAAGGTCCTAGGTCTCTTCAGGTGTCACACAACTATCTAGTTCCCTAAGAAAGGATTTTTGCCAGAAGGAGAATCAACCACTTGTGGTCTCCTCTGTAAGACGTAGGGACCCAGAGGTGATTAAAAGCTGTCATGCTGCTGGGATGATGCTGTATGTACAATTTTATAAGGTCTAGCGTGGGTGTGTGAGAGGGGGGAAATAAGTCAGGGGAGAATCTAACTTAAATTTTCGGAATATTGAAGGATGAAAACTTTCCACCAGTTGCACTCAAATGCATGCCTACTTTACATCTGACTGCAAATGAAAAAATACTGGTTTACTCTTTTTATTAAAGGAAAAAGACTGTCTTAATTATTTATAGTTCCTATAACTGAATTGACAGATGTCAACTTAACTGATAAATTATATTTGGTTAAATAAAGATGACATTTATTTATGTGGATTGCGGTGTGTTTTCTCCATGCGGTCCTCGCATGTGAAGGTATCGGTCATACCACCTTATTGTCACATCTCCTGTCTGCTACTTTAGAAATATTTTAAAACACTTAACCTCCTGGGGAGCCTGATTCTTGTCTGGTTTTTGTGCGGGAAAGTTTCATCGGCCTTAGGGGAGAGAGACCACTGCAATGTGAGGATGTGATTAATTTGCTAATGTTTCCCAAGATGTGATGCAGAGGACCCAGCAGCTGCTGAGAAAGGGCTGATCAGACCCTTGTGCCTGTAGAGACCCAACCTTTGCTAAAATGGATGAGCTTTCTATTTTTCTGGTCGTGATGCTAGAACGGGGCGAAATGACTGCCAGTGGCATGGGAGTGCCTGGGGAAGGCCGTGAGCCTGAAGCAGACGGTGCTGAAGGGCTCAGCGCGTCCTCGCCGCACCTCTCAGCAGAGACGGGAGCGACTCCCTGCTGCGGGGGCTCCAGCAGGCGCGTGTTTGCATGCAGGCGAAGGTCACTTTCCTACTTGTGTTGGCATTAATGGACTGTGGCAGTGGCTCATTCAAGTGGTGCCTCTGGCTTAATAATTGATTTGAAACATGTTATGTTGCCTGAATTAATAACAGATTGTCTTGTGTATTCACTGCATGAATCTGCAGTGCAGCCACTCTGTGGTTGAAGGTCTCTCTCTCTACTCTCAATTTTCTGATATGTAGTGGAATGAGTTATGAAAACAAAATAAAAGTTTTGTGCATCAGGTAAAAACATGATTAGTGAAAATGATAAGATTATGGCCTGCCAGATTTTAGCCAGGCCAGCTTCTAGTTTGCCTTTGGGTAGACCCAGGTAGCTACACGAGTTCCCAGCAGAACAGGCAAAGGTTTGTTTTTCAGCCCCTTCCCTGGCTTTGCAGCTGCAATGCCTGCAGCGAGGGCCTGTTATCTGTCCTCCCTCTGCCTGTGGCTGTTTTAGGGGTGCAGCGCATAGCGGTCCTGCGTGTTTGCTGGGGGAGGCCGAGAAGCCTCCCGAACACGCAGCAGCCGGGTGCCTTGCCAGGGCTCTGCGTTTGCTGCTGTAGGATTTGCGTTATCCTGTGGCCTGTTTTCCTGTACGGCTGTGCCTCCTCGCTGCTCGCCTGAACGAGGAGCGCGGTGGGTAGTCCTGCGGCAAACCTACAGCAGTGCTGAAGAGTAGGCAACAACCAGCAAGGCCTTGCTGGCTATAAATCTCTGAACCTGTGTCCTGTTGCCTGAAGCTTCACGTCATTTCCCCCTGCACTAAATACCAGTGTACCATGGCGGGGGGCGGGGGGGGTTCATTCTATGACTTGGTGTTGATTGGGGGGGTAGATTGTTTTGGTTGGGCTAAAAAGCAGAAGGGGAAGGGGGAATGGGTTTTGCAAGGAGAACCATTTTGCCCTTAACTTGATCCTACCTTGATGGAATCCCAACAACTGTAGCTTTACTTAAAACAAGGCACCCCACATATATACATGCATATACACATTGTGGTTTGGCTTTACTTGCTTTCTAGCTTTTGAATCCCCAAACTACTTCAGATCTTTTTCTCTGCCATGGTAGAGCTTGCAATATAATTCTTGCAAGCGCAGTTGAGCAGTCCCACAGGTCCGAATGCCGGGGTGCTGAGTGAAGCGTGGCCGCGCGTGCCCGGCGTCCTGGCCTGTCTCTCCCGGTCCCGAGCTGGCTCTGGGTGAGCGGATCGAAACCTTCCCGTCAGCACGGAGGGGGGCGGGTTCCGTCACCTTTTCCCCTGCAAGCTTTTCTTCCCGAACCGCTGCAGCGCAGCAGCGTATCCCGCCCCCGTCTCCAGCATTTCGATGTAGCCCCACCTCACCCTCATCGTCTCCTCTGCCCTTTTTGAAAGATTTCCTTGCGGAGGGACTTGCACCGCCCTCAGCACGGGCGGGGTGAGCGCCCGGCCCCGGCTCGGGGGCGGCGGCC